AGACAACTGATATCATTCCATCAGGTCTCAGTTTTCCAAGACGCCCCCCGAGAGAGCTTTACAGATATCATTCCATCCGGCCTCAGTTTTCCGAGACACTCTCTCGACTACAGGGTATGAGGCTAATGCAGAGGGGGTGGTCGTGGGATTGGCTGTAAGGCAACAGACTTGTTCCCCTTCTCTGTGTAAGCTTTTCTCCTCTTTTCATTTTTTATTTCTGCCCAAGCAAAGGCTTTGGAGTCAGACAGTCCTGGATTTGGAATGCAGCCCCACTGCTACTTACTGTTCAAGTATCTTGAAAAGAATCCCTTAATCTGTTCAGGGTTAGTTTCCTCTATGTAAAACGGGCTGGTACCTGGCACGGTTGTTAGGTGCTGTCTCCTCCTATAGGAACTTCAGCTTTTGTCTACTGTGGTCCTTCCTGCATCCCCAGGGCCTGGAAACAAGTCTGACACACAGCAGGGCATCCATAAATATTTGTTTAATTACTTAATTAAGTAGTTAAAAGAAATATATATGCAAATCAACTGGCACAATCTCTTCTCCAAAAATGCTGACTCTTTTTTTAAATGTTCGTTTTACACCTCAGTATCCCATTCTTTCCCACAATTTATCCTGGGGTTTGTGTGTGTGTGTGTGTGTGTGTGTGTGTGTGTGTGTGTGTGTGTGTAATGTTAGTCTAGCTTGCATCTTTCAATGGAGCACTCTTAATCCCTCCAACTGTATTCGTGAATACATTTTGAACCTCCTCTGTCCATCCACACACACTTTCCATCTTCTGGTAACTACAGTCAAATGACTTATTTATCCATTTAAATTGTGGAATATTTTACTGTTCCTTTAAATGTATTCAACCACCAACCATTCTTGTCGAGATCCTAGAACCACATGAAGCTTCAAAAGAACATATCAGAATTTCCTGGTAGGGACAGAGAAAGGGGATCATATTGTACTGAACAACTTTTGATTTTCTTTGGGGAGCCACCTTTCTCACAGTAGACCATGTCACTGATTCAGGTCTGGTTGGGCCCTACAACCCACTTTTTCAGGGGTAGGGACATGATCACTGCTGGTTAATTAAATCATTCCAGTTCTTAGCCCCCACTCCCACCCCAATTAGAATGGATGAGTAATCCAAAAACAGTCAGCTACTAATTCCAGCACTACTGCTAGGCCAACCAGAGAGAGGTGTGCTCGTTTCCTCTGACGAGTGCCGTCCTGAGCCAGGGCGGCCATCCTGTTTGCAGAAGGGAAGAAGCAGTCTGGGGCAGACCCAACCTAAGGGAGAGGAGCTGAGAGATGGGGAATAAGGAGCCCTGGACCTCTTGTTGAAGAACCCAGTTCCATATTTGGATACCCAGTTATTTGAATATACAAGTTCCCTACCTCTTTCTCCAACTTGCCTAAGCCACTTTGTGTTGATTTTTTCCTGTCACTTGAACACAGAAAGATTTCAAATATAGGAATTATATTTGGTTTTCACTACCTCAAGTTGATAACCATGGCACCAAGTTATCTTCCAATTCTAAAAAATTCAACTGTTACCAATTTACTAAGTACTTTTTTTTATTTAAGAAAAAAAAAGTTTAATTAAAAAAAAAAATTACCGAGTGGCTTGTTGGTTAAGAGTTGGCTTGGGACGCCAGCTCTGAGCAGCAGGGCCACCTGTTTGGATCTCACATGGGCCAGTGACACTGCCCTCTACAGCTAAGATGGTGAACAACAGCTTTACCTGGAGCTGGGCTACCGCGAGTCCCCAGTGACGGTGTAGGCTGCAGCCCCTTGCTGCAGTGGGCTGCCGTAAGGTACCGTAGGTGGACGGCAGCCAGCATGAGCGGCCGGCAGCTGGCATGAGCGGCTGTCCAATGACCAGCAACCCATCTGTCTCAGCCGGGAGAAGCGCAATGATCACAATACCAACTTGGGCCAGTGAAGCGATGTCCTCCACAACTAGACTGCAGAACAAAAGGACAGCAACTTGTCTGTTCCCCTTCCCTCCCCCAATTCACCAATAAAATCTTAAATAAAAAAAAAGTTACTGATGGCGAGGCATGAATATCTATGTATAAGAATTAATACTTCCAATATTATGGTTGACTTCAAGTATCCATGAAGGAAAATCTAATAAGAGTATGGACCTTAACAATATTTCATTAATTACTTTAGTCAAATTCATGGCAGGAAGCAGATAGCACACTCAACAAAGAGTTACTGAAGAGGTAATTATTTACAGAGGTATGGGCAGGGTTAAAGAAACCCACAAGGGAAGGAAGGGACTCCCAGAGGCAGCTCGTATGCCCAATGGGGCAAGGAAGGGAGCAGGGTTACCAGAACCAGCCAAGTGCTGTAGCTATGAAAATAGATCACTAGGTAGAGGCACTGCAACAGTCCAGTTGTGGTTTGCTTGTTTTTAGGTTTTTTTGTGTGTGCGCATGTGTTTTTTTGGAGGCAGCGATGTCAGAAGTAGAAGAACTGAACTACTCTCTCTTCCCATAGTTCCATCTTTTAATGGTGCCTTCTATAGCACAAAGCCACCTGGAAACCTGAGGACAAGAGAGCTGGGTGATGCAAGCCTAGAAGTCAGCCTCCCAGGGCACAGAGCAAACTGGAAAATTAATCTGGGTCTGTGCTGTTTAATACAGCAGCACCTAGGCACATGTGGCTATTTGAGTCTGAACTGAGATGTGCTGTAAATGTGAAATACATGCCGGATTTCAAATAATATTTTAAAAGAAAGAATGTAAAATATCTCATTATTAATTTTGATATTGATTACATGTTGAGATGATAATATTTTTGATGTATTGGGTTAAAAATCTATATTATTAAAATTAAGTTCATCTATTTCTTTATACTTTTTTTTTTAACTGTGGCTACTAGAACACTTAAAATTATGTGTGTGGCTCACATTATATTTCTACTGGGGCAGTGTTGATCTACCAGGACAAATGGAAAATAACCACACGCAAGCACAACACATAGTCATTTAAAAGCTTATTTTAACTACATGGTTTCACTTATATGTAGAATCTAAAATAACAAAGAGATTTTTTTTTCCTACTGCAGAGACTGAAGAAGGCTTCATGGAGAAAGCAGTGTTTCATCTGGGCCTTGAAGGTAAGATGGGAATTTGGTAGTTGGAGATAAAAAGACTCATCCAGAGGGGAAAAAATGGGTGAGCCAAGGCCTAAAGTGAAGAAAATAAAACATTGAAATAATAAAATAAACAAATAAATACAAATTTAAAAAAATAAAATTAAAAAACAAAAAA